AAACAAAAGTCACTTATAAGTGCCTTGAACCATAAATTGCTCATGAGAGGAAATGTTACACAAGATGAATGTCACAGCCACATACATATTGCCTGAGTGGAATGGGACAAGGGGATCCTGAGATGAGACAATAGGGTGAGTAGCCCGGATTGTCCAGGTGGGCTGAATGTAATCACAGGTGTCCTTAAAATGGAGGATATTTCCCAGCTGAGTTTAAAATCAGAGGGAGGTGCAGCCATGGAGCAATGTTCAGAAAGGCTGCTGACCATAAAAATGGAGGAAGTTGAGGGGCACAAGCTAAGGAAGGTGGGTGACCTCTGTAAACAGGAAAAAACAAACAAACAAGGAAACATTCTCTTCTAGGCCCTCTAGAAGGAAGGAACCCTGCTGGTACCTTGAATTTTGCCCAATGAGAACTGTGTTGGATCTCTGACCTACACAGCCATAAGCTGATAATTCTGTGCTAGTTTAAGCTATTAAGCTTATGGAAATTTGTTACAGTGGTAATAGGGAAATAACATAGTGAGAGGTAGTGTAAGGGATTAAAGGTCTAGGATGGGGTGTGGAGAGAATTCTAACTTTTACCGCTAAAAAGCAACCAGGTGAAGTGGGAAGATGTTTTAAGGAAGACCTACCTGGCATGGCTGTCAAGCAGACTGGAGCGAGTGGAGCATTGGGGTTAGAGGGATCAATTAAATCTCTACCAGAAAAATAAGGAATAAAATGTAACAGGGCTTCAGTGTTAGTGGATGTAGGAATGGAAATGGGCAGAGAGATATAAACATTATTTAGAAATTAGCTACAGGTTTGATGACTGCATGTTGGGCAGGGTTAGCCGATGTGCGGACTGAATGTTTGCATCCGCTCAAAATCCATATGTCAAAACCCCATCTCCCAGGGTGATGGTATTGGGAGGCGGGGCCTTTGGGACGTGATTAGTAGGATAAAATGAGGTCAAGTGTGTGGATCCCTCATGAATGGGATTAGTGTTCTTATACAGGGCCACAGAGTGGTTGCTTATCTCTGCCCT